TGATAGAATTATATTTGGAAGTATGAAGGGAGGGGGAGAAAGTTGTAAAAAGTTAATACCTTCATTTACCATAATAAAAAGCCAAGAAAATTTAAAATTTATGCACCAAATAACAGTGCATCATATTACTTAGGAATATGGAGGTAAATATCAGAATAAACAGCTAAAAGAGTTGAAAGTAGATACCATTGAAAAGCAGAAAGAGACAGAATGGCTGCTACCACTGGGGACAGTTGGTGTTGCAAATCTTAAAGCCTATTTGTCTTTTTTTCTTTTCTTTTTTTTTTTAAAGATTCGCATCTGAGCTAACAACTGCTGTCAATCTTCTTTTTTTCCTCTGCTTTTCCTCCCCCAAATCCCCCCCGTACATAGTTGTATATTTTTAGTTGTAGGTCCTTCTAGGTGTGGCATGTGAGACACCCCCTCACAGTGGCCTGATGAGCGGTGCCATGTCGGCAACCAGGATCCGAACCAGTGAAACCCTGGGCCGCTGAAGCAGAGCACGCGAACTTAACCACTCGGCCACAGGGCCGGCCCTGTCTTTTTTTCTTTAGATTTATTGAGATATAATTGACATGCAGCACTGTATAAGTTTAGGGCACACAATACAATGATTTGACTTACATACATTATGAAAAGATTACCACAATAAGTTTAGTTAACATCTATCATGTCTTGTAGATACAGAAAAGAAAAAGAAAAACAAACGTGTTTTCCTTGTAATGAGAACTCTTGGGATCTACTCTCTTAACAACTTTCACATGTATCATATGTCACTTTAAAAAATTGTTAACTCAAAGATAAGAGACACCATTAGACCAAAAAATAAAAGAAAATCTCAAGGCATATGAACATTGTAAATTCCTGGTTGCGTATTTGACCAAGTGTTCCAGACTCTGAATCGTTTTACATTCCTATGGATTGCTGTCATCACATTTGACAGGTATTGTGAGCATTATCATAGTTTTGGCATTTAACAGAAGAAAGAGAGTAGCTTTTAAAAATTCACATTGTTGAGGTGCTGGTGAAGATGAGCGATTTTGTATGCTCATTCACCAATTAATGTCTTTTTCTGTGAACTCTCTGTTCCACTCTTTTGCCTATTGGAGTCTCACGCACTTCTCATTGACCAAAAAGGGTCTTTCACATCGTAAGATGATTGGCTTGTTGGCCAGTATTTTTATCAGATAATTATTTAGCTTTACATTTTCATACTTTAAAACATTTTTTATGTGGCCGAAACTTTTTTTGTAATTCTTTCAACTATGTGGTGAGCTGTATTCAGAGAGTAAATAAGCCTGCACTTAAAAATCAAAACCAGCAGTGTTATTCTGCCCTTTCCCTGAAGTTCCTGCCGTCTTTCTGCCCCTTGGCTTCCCATAGCTGACTCTGATATTCCACCTCAGCCCCGTTTGTGCAGCTAGGGCCACAAAGCTCTGTTTTTCCTAATCCATCATCCCCTCCACCCCTGTCCCTCCTGTTTCCCTGGGGCCTTGCTCAGTGAGAGTCACCTGGCAAACCAGCTCCTGGGAACTGTTGATGCGAGGTAATGACTCCATGGGGTATTCTCAGGTCACACATTCACTTTTGAGCATGTGTATTCAAAACTCAATCTCAAGGCCAGCATTTACATGGAAGGGACCAGCACACAGACCTGATTTCCTCAGCCTTCAAAGGAGGTCATACCCTCTCCACGGTCATTCCATGGCCAGTTGAGAGTCGATGGGCAGAGGACATGTTGTCCTGGCATAGCACCATTTTCAGTAGCTTCTGACACTGCTGCTTATGGAGATGTGACTCTGACTGGTCATGGGCAGCTATGGCTCACTCAGCTCTGTGGGGAGAGGAAATTGTCTGGAAGGGGTGAGATTATGGAGGAAGCTCACTTTCCATCACATAACCCTCCAGAGTCCTGTGGATTCCAGCTCATACCACTTTCTGGATTTCCCTGAATTGGCCTATGGTTTGCATCAGTATCACTCAAGCTTTTAAACTAGAAAGCAATATACAAATATTAATACTTTAAAAAATATTGCTATTACAAACAATGACTTTATTTTAATATACAATCTATAAATTATGTTATATTAATTACATGTAATGAATTAAATTCATTAATATAATTATATAATAAAATATAAAAATTATAAAATATAATTTTAATAATTATATTATTGAGTTTTATGTGATTTTATTATATAATTAATATTATGTAGTATATAATTATTACATAATTATTTTTACATAATTAATTATAAATCTATATAGTAAACAAATGGGTGCACTTTATTACAAAAATATCAACTCGTATAAGCACAGACATAGCTAAAGTATTGGTAAATTTCCCCCAAATGATGCTTAGGTCATTTAACATTTAAATCAAGCACATGGTATGAATCCCTTTAAAACACGCTTTTGCTGAAGTAATTTGTGCACATACATGATTAGAGTCCTTTCTTTCTGTTGACTGATCACACCAGTGAAATGTGAAATGAGTTGTTTGACTGACTTGACTTTTAAAAATCAAATGGGATAGGCACAGGGTTTAGAGAAAAGCCAGGTTTCACGTACAGCAGTATTCTAAAGTGCAGAGACGGCCACTTTCAGATGGCTTTGGATCTGGGCTGCCCGTGGCCTGTGTGTGATGCTGTCGGTGACGGGCCCTGAGATCCCCCACAAGCCCAGGAGCGGGTGGTGCTTCAGTTGACCAGTTGACCCATCTCTACCACAGACACACGGCACAAATCACACTGAGAGGTTGTGAAGCTCAGTTAATATTTAAAACGTTTTGATGCTCAGATAAAAGGGGATTCAAGTTGTCACCAATTAGTAGGAAAAGACTAATTATTATACAGACCTATGATCTTTTATAAGCAGAAACATTAAAGGAATCTAAAAGCTATCACTTTTTATGAAAGAGCAGATGGCCTGAATTAGACCCCTAAAATATAATAAGTGTGAGTGTGTCTGTCTAGGTCTGGATGCAGATGATCCAGATCTAGATATAGACAACTGAACAGGAACACTTTTAAGGGCTGTTGGGGGAGGGGGAGAGAAGAGAATGGAAAAGACACTGTCGATGTCCTTTGAGTCATTCCATACAGTACTATCTATAGGGATTGATCCAGAAAAAGCAGTGCCTTCTGTTCCAGACTTTTAACTACTTGGAAATATGTTTAAATTATCATGTTTCAATAAAATTCATAGTTTAGGCAGTAGAGACTTCCTGAGTCCCTCCTCTGGGCCAGACACTCAGCTACTATGATGAACAAGCCACAGCACTGGCTCTCCAGGAGCTGACAGTCCAGTGGAAGGAGACGGGTATATGAATAGGGCTGTTACCCTACACCCCAATTTTCTACCTTATCACCCCATCACCACTAAATTAGCATCTGGTTCTTGGAAGGAGTAGTTTGTCTCATGTCAGCTCCTGAGTTTTCTCCTTAGTGGTCGTGTTCCTCCCCAAACCCCTAAGTCAAAGGCCACCACTGCCTTTGCTGCAGCTCATCTCCTGAAACCCCCCAAAGGGCTCCACATACAATTATGGAGATTGTGTAAGGCACCCTTTGGGGACATAGACTACTGTAGGTTCACAAGGTGACTAAGGGAACTTCATGTAGGAGAAAACATGGCAGGCTAAGTCTGGCTTTTCCCAAAGGCAAAAGAAAACTTTTTGCAAAGAAGTTCAAATCTTTGTAACCCTCCCAAGCATCTCCCCAAGAAAGAAACTTGAAGAACACCCGTGCCCTTTGCTAAAGCAATTATCTTCTAGTTGGGACTGGGGACTGGGGTGATGGCTGAGGGAGCCTCCTTCCCCTGAGAGATCTAGCTGGTGCTTTGCCATTTAAGGCTGATCTTTGAGGTCTCTGTGGCAGTCTGAAGTGAGAGTGGTCCTCATCACTCTTCCAGGTCTTCTGGAGGAAACCTTTGATTCAAACACACACACACACACACACACACACAAACAGGCACACACATACACCACCTGTTTCCTTTGCCCTTAGACACAGGAATTCTTAAGCACGGGGTCATCAATGCTTGTTTCCCAGAGCAAACCCCTAGGGACTGGAGGAGGGTGATGAGTGAAGGGAGTAGCTAGTCTTCCAAATAAAGCAGGAACAAGCAATAATAGCCACGGGACTGTGGCCTTTGGGGAGGGACTGGATTAAACTGTCTGCTTTGAAGGTAAATTGTTTGACTGAATTAGATAAGATTTTTTTCCAATTTGGTTTGCAAATATAGTGACAGGAACATTTTTGTTGAGTTTACTCCACAATCTCAATAGCCATAGATTATCTACAAAGAGGTTCAGATACTTGAGGAATAAGGATTTTGGGTAATAAAGATTCTTTTCATTGAGTGTGGGGTAGTAACTAGGAACAACAAGAAGAAGTATGCTAAAGTGGTGGGATGATTCAACATGGCGAAAAATATTGAACCTTCTGTAAACCTGAGGATCTTTTCTTGACTCAGCAGCAAGAACTGGTGTCTTAACACTTTTTTGCCAGAGTTACTAATGACCCATTATAAAAGAACAACTGAGGTTGATTATTTATCATGAAGGGATTTCTGTGTGTAGATAGAGCAGCATTTGCTCAATTGAGCCTCTCTCAGTCCTAATCCAACGCAAAGGCACTGCTTGGCCTGGAAAGGGGTGTGGCGTACCCTGAGGAAGCTGGACAGAATCTTCTTCCCTCGAACCACGTGTTCATTCATCTAGTTTCTACTCTGCTCACTCTTCCACTAGTCTGTTTTCTCCACTAACGGCCTGCCCCACCTCTCTCTCCGTTCCAACACTTTCTATTCTCCATGCATATGGCAGACAGAAGATGCTGTGCATAATGGAGCCCAGTTCGTGAACACAGGTCTCTCCTGGTCAGAGGGGAACTTCTCCTGTTTTCTTTTATTCTCCTTTTGTCCCTCTTTTCAGAATTTTAGCCAATTGCCTCTTTTTGCTCCTCACCTTCTGTGACAAGTCCACCGAGCTTCTTAGTTTTGGGACAATAAGGGGGATTTGTTCCTGTAAACTCTTTGGTTAAAAAAAATGAAAAGAAAATGAAAAACAGTTCTGTCAGAGATGGAAGTACAGGTAAGATCTGAAGCTCGTCACCGCTGGGCAGTTCCAGTTCACTGGGGGCTCTGTAAGTGACCTGAGAGGAGACATATTTAGCAGTTAAAAGTATTTTTAGGAGACCTTAAAATAGAGCCAAAGAATAAATCTAATAGAAACAAGAAAAGGAGAACTTTGATTCTGGGATACCCTGTGGTTCTTGAAATGTGAATAAAATGACTTCCTGGAAAAGCTCAAAAAAGTTGTTAATCATTCTCTTCTCAGTCACAATGTTTAGCAGGTCTCAGGTGCCTGTCTAACAAATAGTTCCATGGGCGTGAGTGATCCAAACGAGGCACAAATCTTTACACACTTCCTACGTGTCAAAACAGCCTGTAAGATTTTAAATAAACGTCCTCACTTGACAGCTCCCCTGTCAGTAGGCCCTGGGACCATGCGGGGACCCGACATGTTAGGTGGACCTGTTCCAGCTACTCCATTCTTTCCTTTTTCATTCCCTTTCTTTTCCTCTCTCTTTTTAATTGTGTATTTTATATGTTACCATCTTCATAACTCTAGTGTTCTTGGTGATCAAATGTTACTGAAATCAGGATCCTGAGAGTAGTTCAAAAAATAGTGTAAGTGGGAGTGCAAGAAAGGTTCTTCGAAGGATGTGTTGAGTCCAGCACACTTTTATCTTAGTTGGTTTCTTCTTCCTTGAGAGAAGGAGGGGAATAGCTTGAATGAAAAGTACATAGACCAACTTGCTATAATGTGTCATCTTAAAAGTTGACTTTAGACAGATAAAGTTGAAGTCGTATGTGAACACATAGTACACCAATTCCTTCCCTAACCCTTCTATTAGGGCTCACTGTGCCCTCACCACGTGATGGTCATTGTGTTTTTGTGCTATGCTCCATGAGAGCTATCAGCTGCATATAACCACCTCCTTTTCAGATATTTAAAATCTACCAGTAGGAACAAGTACGTACACAAATAACTTTATTACTAAGTGGAAGGTAATGTCCCTGTAAAGATATAAATAAAGCTCTTGAGTGTTCTTAGGAGAAAAAGATCAGATCTAACCAGAGGAATGTGAGGAATTCATGCAGGAATGGATTTTCCACTCAAAATGATTTCTCAAGAACTACTAAGCCTCCAGCAGCTAGAGATTCGTAAGAGGTCATTCCAAAGCTATGGGAATTGTGCCTGGAAAGCCAATAATGTGGTACGGTTTAGGTGTATTTGGGAAATGTTCATGTAGGCTCACTGAGATGTTCCAGGAGACATTTATGGATAAAAGGCAAGGAAGAAGACACAGATCCTGTCCATGGAGAGCTTCCAGTCTGGTGTGGGACATGATGAATAAAAAACAATGTTTGCCACAGTGTTAGAAGTGCTGTATTAGAGACGCAGACAAGGGAGGAGGAGGAGGAGTCAGAGAAGGCAGTAAAGACTGGTCCTGAAAGAGACAGACAATTTTATTAACCTGCATGAATTACAGGGGAAACTAGAGTTTATACAGAGATACAGAGATGTGAAATGCACATCCTGTTGAGCAAATTGTAAGATTCAGTGGCTAGAGCGTGTGGGACAGGACGAGCCAGGAGGGGCAAGAAATGAGAAAGTCCAGATAATTAGGTTAGGGAAGGACCTTGAAGGCCAAGGAAAAGAATTTGGATTTATTTGCCAGGCAACAAAGGCTTCTGAGTGAGGAAATAAAATAATCCTAAAAAATTATATAAGGAAATACTTTTTTCTTTAATCAAAATAAAACACAGAATCTCCTCTCCTAAAGACTATGGAATACCAAAGAATAGACAGACATACAAATCCAAATAATCTGGTGAATAGGGCAGTTAAAAATTTTTCATAATGGTCAAGGGCAAGGACAGCCCTGAGCTCCTAGGATTTTAAGATACATGAGAGCGCCAATGTCTGTGTTCATCACCAAGCCCCAAGCGTTCAATTAAAATTTGTTGAAAAAGTGAAGGAAATATCGGATAAGCAAGTGAAACAATGAAAATGACCCCCAAATAATTTCAATCTTTATGAAAGGAGGAAGAACGAGGAAGACCAGTGCCCTCCGGCTTTGCATAGACAGCTTCTACATGAGAAGGAGGGAATCAATCCTACATCTTGTGTTCTCCTTGGATGAGTCAATAGCTAAATGGTAGTAAAAAGAATATGTCCCAAAGTCAGGGGAAAACAAGAGGTACCATTCCTAGTGAGCACACTTCCTGTGGACTTTCAACACGTGTGCACAACACATAGGTAGGAATGAAGAGATGACAGGATGCTGTAATTGGCGAAACTGAGAGCAACAAACGTACTCATCTTGGTTACATGATAAAAATGACTATAAGAGGGATGAAAACTAACACTCCATAGCAGAATAAATATCAAGTAGTTAATTAATAGGTTCAGCAGAAGTGATATGTAAATACACATAGTTACTAAGGAAAACAATGTAGGGAATCCTATTATCTGTTTAACAATATCTGTGACCTCTTTAAAGCTAGAAACCACATATTTGATGTCTTTGGTTCCTAGCACTGAGCACACTGCCTTAGTAGGCTAGCAGGCTCTCAAAAAATAAATACTAAATGCAAATGAATATACTCAGATGCCCCTTCAAGTCTCTGCATCCATCACCTGCCTCCAGGATGTCAAGGTGGTGTGGTCTACCCACCATCACCTGCCATCACCCAGGGGAACCTCAGGAGACCATCTTTCCTCTGGAGCCCACCTGTCATTTCAAATTTATGACAGTAAGGTGGAAATTTTTTATGAGATTTTCTCCTTCTTTCTTTTACTGTTTCGAGGATCGCTAGGGTGGCCATAAAAACAAGAGCCTGATAGCTCTGGAGAGAGCCAGGAGGAGGGCAGGGCAGGTTGTACAAGCCCTTCCACAAATGCTCTGCCAGGTCCCTGCTTTGTGTGCGCCACACCTCAAAGCTGACTTAAATGCATCCCACTGTTCCAGGATGGCTGCCTTTCCAGACTGTAGACTGCTGGCTGGGGCAACTTGCCAAATGCTGCTCCTGGTCTGAGAAGGTTAACCAGTGTCCATGCTGCATGGGAATGAGCCTGCAGAATCAATGCCTATCGACACTGAGATTCCACTTGGATCTAACTCTGCCAGATAAAGCAGTAAGAGGCGTGAAACCCAGCAGTTCACCTGAGAACAAATTTCATGCCGGTAAATTCTAATCTTTGCTATTGGCAGTGTTGTTCAGCTCTGCAAAGGCTGCCCCGCCTTCTGCCCTTTCCCAGCCTGGAAAGCAAAGCCAGCTTGGGTCACACCTGTCCTGGTGGCAGAATCCATTGTGTGTCATGGCCTCCCCTCCATGTCAGTACAAATATCCTTTAAGCCAAAACTTTCCTCTTACCATTTCCATGACGGAATCGTTTCATCTGTAATAATTTTCCAACAGAGGCTGGAGAGGAGGCTGCTGGAGTTTACCTGCTGTTCAAACCAGGCACGGTGGAGAGAGACCATTTTTCTTTGTATTTGTTTGAAACCACCAGGAGGATGAAAATGCCCCATCAATACAGCCAATCAGGAGTATTTTATATCTATTGCTGCAATGAGAAAGCCCACCTGTAACAAAATAGAAGAGGGATGCAAAGAAATAAGAAGCAAAAAATAAGGAAGAGAAGGAAGAAAGATTTAGAGAAAAAAGGGAGCAGGATTAGTCAATCCTTCCTGTCAAAATGCTCTGTGGTTTATAGCAAAATAGTGCTTTGCACAGTCGGGGTTATTTGTCAAGGGTTAAATGTCACTCAAATCACGCCCGTTATGAACTGGAAAGTGTGCACGTGTGTATGCGTGTGTGTGTGTGTCTGGAAGGATCGAAATGGGATGCTACTTTCTTATGCATTTCAAATGGAGCCACGCTGGCCTGGAGATGACCTGCCACACGATTTTTAAATTATCTCTGTGCGCGCTCCGCTTGTTTTGGAAATGCTCTAAATAAAAATAATGGACTGTCTTTTAATAAGTCTCATTGTGAGGATTCCACATATCAAACCACGCAGCGCAGCTTGGAGGCAAACATCGGGCATGTGTGATCTCGCTGGAAGAGAGACAAATGGTGATGCAAGGAGCTCGATCGAGGGACTGCTGACAAGAAAATGGCATTCGCAAACTGACCCATCTGTCAGGGTGGAGAATATTGGCACCTGTCATGCAATTTCAGTCATGACTTTTAATAAAGCTGCTTTCCCTTAGGTAAAATTGGAACTTGACTGTAATGTTAGCTGCGAGCACGTCTTGTTTTCCCCTTCAGAGCGCTTTTGTACGTGAGGCGGTTCAAATGAGTCTTAAAGCCGAAGTAATGATGTTTACCAGCCTTTCCCCTGTCTCCCCAGAACTCTGGATTTGAAAAAGATGTTGCACTGAGTTTTTTTTTTTTTTCTTTCTTTCTTTCTTTCTTTTGCAAAATGTCTCCTTTTGCCAATGAATGCTGGTTTCCGCATAGACTTTCATAAGGTTTGGCTCTCCGTTCTCCCCATCATCCCTGACCTCCCTCTCCCCCTCGCCTCCGCCTCTGACTGGGTTGTTGTTTGAGAGAATTTAGCCCGAGGAAGTATGTATATCATAAAAACTCGGTTGGGATTTGTTGGCTGTCAGTCAATAAATCAGTCAGAGTTTAATTACCAGGCAAGTGATGGGCTGTGGTGACAGGCACCAGCTCCAGTGGAGAACATTTCTTTTGGGGCAACCACTACAAAAAAAAAAAAAACCCTAAAAATGACGTTACTCTGAATGTGTGTGTGTGAGAGAGAGAGACAGACGCAAGGAGAAGCTAAGAGACAAAATCAAAAACCAAAAAGTTGAGTGCAAAAGCCAAAGAGAAATGAAAAGTTAAGGAACTCCATTGCTGCTGTCAACCCTAAAAGCTTAAGAGAGCGGAAGTTTGTGGAGTCATTTCAATAAAATGCTCTCTGTTAAGAGCTTTTCATGTGCTGTTCGAAACATCAGTAGTCGAGCGTTACATGATTTCTGGACTAACATATATTAATTTCATTTCTTTGTTCAACACACAGAAACATTTTATTTGTAATCCATTGAATTAAAAAAAAGCTCAAAACTGGAAATCTCACTTCCTACCAAAACTATCGGAAAGAATTACTGTATAAAAAAATGACATAATGTGATAAATGCTGTTTCACACAGTAGGAATCAAGTGTGTTTTCTCCCTTATTAACGTTCCCACAAACAATGAACCATTTCTTTCCCACCCCTCCCAGCCCCCAAACACCACTTTGGAGCAAGATTCCGGGTTGAGAGACCCTACTACAGATTCAGGATTATTGGGGCGGGGAGCAGGGGGAATATTCTTTTCTTTTTTTTCTAAAGGCAATTCACACTCAACATAGATTTTATTTTTGACTAGTTATAGGAAATGCCATCTCCTACCTGTCATGTGTCATGAAGCTGTATGTGAAGATGCTGCAGGGTATTTTGACTGAAGGGATGTTCTATTTTCTTTTAACTGTTCTCCAGTGGTATGTCTCAGTTTGTTTATTTGAAATTCTTAGACCATTTTAAGGAATTGTGGGGATCTTTGACTCAAGGTAGTATATCCACTACTCAGAGAACCCCTCTCGGCTGGAGTAGGAGAGGAAGGGAGGTATCGGGCTGCGCTGAGAATCCGGGATGGTGGAGGAGGCCCAGAGTATAGATCCTTTTCTAGAATTTAAATTCCATTGAATTTTACCAGAGTATCCTGGATCTTTTCCTCCTTTCTGGAATTCTTTTAGAATTATACAAACGCATGAGATTTTTATAAATGTATCATAAAGGTTTAAGACAAAAAAAGATCAGGCAGGATGAGCTGTGAAGATATAGGAAAAAAAAAAAAATTATACACAGCACCAAAGCAAAATCAGCAGGCTTTCGGCTTTTGCCAATTCTTTGTGAAGAAAATATTTGGCATTTTGCCTAAAATCTTAGCAGCAAACAACAGCTATTCTAGCTTAAATTGATATTAAAAAACAAAACCAAAAAGGAAAACAAGACAAAACAAAACCCTGCACCCCTGGGCCAGAAAATTGCCTGTGACCTGAGTCCTGGAAACCTATAAACTAGAGCCAATTCCCCCGCTTCCATTTGCCCTGGGTTGAATCCTTTCTAGGCCTCAGTTTACCCAGCTTGCTGCTCAAATGCCAACACTCTTGGGGACCAATAAATTCCTCTATGGTTTCAGTCCAGGTAGCAAGCGATCAATTTGAATAAACTTAAGAATGAGCAGGCTTTGTTTAAATGTCTGTTAAAACAAATTTTATGACTGCTCCAGTGCTGTATCAGATAGCCCACCATGTCCACATACTCCATAAAACACTTCACCAGGCTTCCCGAATATGTCAAGTTAAGAGAACCAGAATCTTTCCTGGAGCATTTCTTTTTTGAATGTCTCACCCCATATGAACAACCTTTAAGTCCAAACCTAATGTGACATTGTAACCAGAAGAAGTAGAATTAGAAGAAATAATAGTGGTATTGTCTCAGAGAAAAAAGGAAGATCATGAAGTGGAAAAAATAAGCGAAATACTATTTTAAATTAGCCAAAAAGAGCTTCATTCTCTATGGTTTGACATTTTGCAGTGTCAAAAAACTGCCTGCGTTTTCAACCCATCAGGATTCTTACCTGCCGCAAAACTGCGTTCCAAGGAAAGGCACAGACAATCATCCAGCCACAAGTGGATTATAACCCAATGCTTACCAAGAAGGTAAGACAAACCTAAACACGCCTCAACAACAAAAAGACAGGCGGGTCCCTCTTTTAAGCCCACTATTTCTGTTGAGTATCATTTATGTACATCTTCAAATAAAAGAGAAAAGCAAACACTGAAACAGTTATTAAGTGTGCAGCTTTCCACTGCTTCCAGGCGATCACTATCATAGAGAGATGTCTATGGTGACTCTCTGTGCAACATCCCTCATTGCTGTTGTTGTTGAAATAACCATGGGGTTTCAGAAATGAGTAAAAATTAAACTACATCTTTACGTTATCCTATTTTTAAAGATCTCCAGGAATGGGATTTTGACAAAAGGAATAACACTTTCTTATGGTGCCCTAAAACCCTTCACCACTTTATATTCGAAGTGCTGCACTAGGAGCTCGTTTCCTCGTGTTCTCCTAAGAGAGAGAGGAGAGATTTCACTTACGTGCTGTGTTTTTAATTTTTATAGACCAGCTCACTAGCACAGGATGAAAGATTGGCACAAAAATGGGTGTGGAAGTCACTGTTGGCAACAAGTCCCTGATGGCGGATTGTTCCCCGGTAGCAAGCTCCTTTGTGCCCAGCACTCCCGTTGTAGTTGTTAGCACACGCTCCTTCATTCACTCACACACGGATCCCTCGTTCATTGGGGCAGGCCACACATTTTGGCTAAAGACCTCCTTAAGCTCTAGGGAGATATTCAAAAAAAGGAAGGCAAGGCCCCTGCTTTAAAAGAGCTGGCCTTCTCATGGGGATAGACTGAAAACAAACAAACACGTAAGCAAGAGAAACATCAGATGGCGCTGAGTGCTATGTGGAAAATGAAAATAACACACACTAGGAAGCCCCTTTGGTTTTCTGGTCAGGAAAGATCTCTCTGAAGAGGTGACACTGAAGCAAAGGAGCCAGGTGAGTGAAGGTCAAAGCAAGAACATTCCGGGCAGAGGGGACATCTTGGAACCTTGGGAAAGGAAACGAAGGCTGGCGTTTTTGAAGTGTAATGAACAAAGGCAATGTGACCGGAGACGAGTTAGGACAGGCACGCGGGAGGAAGACCGTGTAGGGTCTTGTACCCACGGCAGCAGTTTACATTTTCTGCTAGGTTTAACAGCAAGCTATTGTAGGGTTTCAGAATGAAGACTGACATGATTTGATTTGAGTTGAGTTTTAAAAGCATCACTCTAATGTCTATTTAAGTGGCCAAAAGTAGAAACAAGGAGACCAAAGAGGGGATATTGCAATGGTCCAGGCAAAAGATGGCTTGTGGCTTGGGCTGGGATGACTGTAAGGAGATGATGAGAAGTGGAGAGATCCAGGACTTAGCTTGAATTAGTCAACAGGAACTGCTGATGTATTGCATGATGCTGAGAGATAGAGAAGTATATCCTTCAGTATGAGCGGGCTATACTGTGTGACACACAGCACCAAAATCTTAATGGCTTAGAACAACTTAGATTAATGCCCCCTCCATGCTCCATGTCCATGGAAAGTCAGCAGGGACTTTGTTCCACATTGTCCCCACTCAAAGACCCGGGTTGATGGAGACGCTGCACTTGGAATGTGGCTGCTTGCTGAATTAGGATTAAAAGAATACAGACAATCATGCACTGACTTGTAAATGCTTCCACACAATGGTGACACCTGTCACCTCTACTCACAGCTCATTGGCAAGGATCATTTGGTCAAGGGGAGGGAAAAGTGGAGTTATTCTCTGTGGAGAACAGTGGAGGGAAACCGGGTATTGGGGCACATAGCTAATATTGATCACAGGAGGTGTCAAGGGCAATGCCTCCATTTTTGATTTGAGTAATGGCATAGATGGTGCCGCCATTTCTTGACTGGGAGATGAGGGGAGGAGCTCTTGTAATCCTTCACCATGATTATAGCTGTTGGTTCAACACTCATCTTGCCAGAGATGGTGCAAGCTCCATACTCCCCAGGTCACTACTGTCCTAGACTCTATGAACCCAGCACCATGACTGGAGTATAATATTTGGTGATTTTATGAATGAATTAATGAAGCAAAGAATAAGTCATTAAGCCTTTTTTTTTTTTTCACTTTCCAAGGGTGGCAAATGATTGTATTTTCAACCTTCCTGTCTGAAGTCAACCCGGAAGTCCACGTTTAAGCCTGTATTATAAGCCAGGGCTCAGCTGCATGCACTGATTCACACAGGAGGGGTTAACAGCTACATACTTTCCCCGGCCATCATTTGGCTGTGATGAAGTTTCGTGCTCTAGTTCCTGATACCTCCATAAGTTTTGGCAACTTATTTGAATGCTTCAGATTACCTACCTAGTCACCAGCTTACTTCTCAGTTTTTGAGTTAGATGCACTTTCAACTCCAGCTAAGGGACACTTTGGTCAGACAAGGCATTTTGACACTATCCTATGAGCCATTGGAGGTATGGACCATTTTCAAGGAAGAATTGGCATGAACTGTGTCCTGAGTGGAAACTCCTGAGGGCTGGTGCTATATTCCTTGAATCTAAACATTCCCAACACCAATCAGAGTAATGGTCACACATAGGCACACAATAAAAACTTGACATGTGAATTACTGAGCAAATGAATGAACACATGGATGATTGAATGAGGTTTAAAAAGATTAATGTTGTGGCAGTAGCAGGTTTAACTGGAGGAGGTACAAGCTTGTGGCAGAAAAACCGGCCGTGTTGGAAGAGTCTAGAGGTGAATTTATAATGCCCAGATACCGTCTGTCTCAGCTCAGTGAGTCCCTGGCTGAAG